GAGGCGGTTTCGGCGGAGGATTCGGAGGACGAGGTGGTATGGGTGGCCGCGGAGGACGTGGAGGTGGTCGCGGTGATGATGATTTCGATATGGGAGGCGGTGGAGGACGAGGTGGTGGTGGTCAGGGAGGAGGAGGTGGTGGACGACAAGGAGGTAGAGGTCGAGGAGGAGGAGGGGGCGGTGGACGAGGAGGTGGAGGAGGAAGAAGGCGGAACGGCTGAAAGACTAAAAAGAAATAATTTTCACCGTAATTCACACTCACTGGCTCCTCGAAATACCGTACACGTTCGTTGTCGTCCTTCCATCAGCGAGTGAAGGGGTATTCATCCAAAATTAGCGTTTACGGTATATTAATAGTCTGAGCATGCTATGATAATTTAAATATTTAATCAAAGATATCTTTTCATATATAGATTGTAGCTAATTATTATGCCATGTACATACTCCTATTTACATGTTTGTTGAATACTCAATACACTATTGAGCTTTGTTATGTCAGTGACGAAGCTGTTGCTTAATAAATTGACGTCTACTCTTCCAGGATAGCAGAGAGACCAACTACACAATTCTTCCGTTCAACAATGAGGTCTTTGAGATCTCGTTTTATGTTACGAGCTGGTAGCCTACTGAAAATATAGTTTTTATGCATACTTTCAGTTTACTGGTTTAATAAAAAAACATGTGGTTCCTATGATTCTCTGCTTTAGATTAAAAAAGGCTCACTCTTGAGATATTCTGACAAAGATGTCAGTTTAAAAAAGTTGTGTCTGCTTGTTTATCGCGTCACAAGCAGGAAAGAAATCTAGAAATGCAGCAAAAACTTGCAGTCGCGTAAGCTTGACCATGTATTATTCAATCGCTTCAATCTCTGCTTTCCCCGAAAAAAAGAAAGTTGACTGAATGGGTATACACCAATAACTGGAATTAATAAGTAGAAAAAGATAGGGTGAAGCAGCATAAATCAAGTTGTGGCCTCTCCGCTAGGAAGAAGTAAAAATTTTGTGGAATGGAGATGTATGAGATGACATGGTTGCTTTGCAAATACTTGAAAACAAAGTTGCGAATCGGAACCTTGGCGATTGCGCGACCCACCTATGGGTCACGCATTTTGGGATGAATGGGACCATGTGATTTACGCTGAGTTACACTTTTTTGATTTCATATTTTTCTTCAATCTAGGCTTTTATTGATTTTAATTAGTCAGATGAACAGATGGTTTACCTTCAAACAAAAGTACAAGCAATGGGCAATTTTAAATCGCGTTGGTCTCATGCTCCAGACACGTAAATTGTGTGCGGTCATCAACGGATTAAATGCCGAACTGCTTGATTTGGTTGCTTAGTGGAATAATCCACCAGCGACACTGTCTTCTACTAAAAGTTTCGTCATAACATCAAGGTGATCACGCATAAGGTGCCGCCTTCCTCTTCTTTAGAAGCTAGAAACGCAATATTACACTGGTGAACAGGAATTCTATTGACGTAACAATAAATAGATATATTCACGAAAAGGGTAGTGAAAGAAATGTCAGTCTTATAGGAGACGGTGTTAGAAAACGAGACTTGTGCACTAATAATACTTGATGTCTAGAAATTGCTTAAGTTCCCACTTTTTTGTTATTCATGGCTCTTAATTGGTATAAAACTTGACATCTGCAACCTTTAAATCATATATTGCAGGGTTGTTAACTCCTTTCTCAATAAAACCCGAGGTTTCAATTGTTTTAAAATTTGATATCATATTCAACTTAATGAATATTTTACTTGCAGAAATTCTCCAGAGGATTTTTCAAAGCAAGCACAAAATTCTTGAGAAGCTACAGATATCTATAGGATGTTTATAAGTGTCTTTAGAAAAATGGTAGTACTAATCGTGTCATAATGATAATGTATCATAAAAAGCTTTAATCTCTGTCCTTATTTCAATTTTTTAAATTTATATGACAAGAATGAAAGAGCAGCACAATTTTGATTTTGCAATCAGAAGCACATTTGCCTAATGAGTACGGTAGAATTTCGACATAACTGTGTAAGTGGCCTTAACGTTATAGAAATCTCTTAAATTACTGACTGCGCTGAGCAAAAATTCACTAGTCGTCATGCAGAGGAATTTTCGCGGTATTACGATAGATAACATAATTCCAATGTGTTCAGCATTCTATGCATGAAACATTGTTGGCAGCGTTTTTGGTCTTGAGATCCAGAAACCCATTTGACTTTTTCGAAAGCTTAAAACTTCAATTGACTCCTCTCTTTATTATTAACATCAAGCTAGAAAAGTTTTGATGTCAAAAACATTTATTAGCAAAGGTTGCATTTGATTCGAGACTTACCAATTAGCACCGTATCGT